ACGGGCCTCTCGTGCGCCAGGCGCTCTCACCCAGTACCCCTCCTCCCGGTCCTCGCGAGATGCTGGCCAGACCGAGGACTTCCAGAGAGTCTGCGGACGCTGTGTACCCATCTACCCGCCCACTCTCCTCCCTTCTCCTCCACCACCAACCCAGGTACCAGTGAAACCTATAAGTTTATGGACATTGACTGTCCTTATTGGAAGTAATATGATACATAATACGACTGAAAGAATGTAAGAACTTTTGGTGAGCGACAAAAATGAGTGCGAATATTTAACGTAACATAACCTAGTGAAGGACAGTGCCTGGAACGACTGCGAGGTGGGCTAGAAATAAGTGCGAACTAACGTCTTAGTGACTTCATGATCCTTTCCACTGCCTTTTGTCTGTAGTGAAAAACATTCCAACATTCTATTTGTTGGCACTCCGTGCCCTCACTACCGCTGTTGAGGTTCTGCTGGTCGACCGCCTGCCAGCCAGTCCAGCGGCTTCCCGGAGAATGGCAGCTGCCAACTCTTCACAGTCTTTGTTCCATTCAAAGTCGCCACTAGCCTCAACACCTCACTGCTAGTGGTATCGGATGATCGGTAAAACTTCTTCCATCCATCGCTACTGTTGACGCTACTATTTCTTCTCAATATTGGGTTGCCAGGAGACGGCTACAGACAGCAGACCTGTCAAGGTATTTGCTGACACTGTCAGACCATGGCTGTGATCAGACATCTAAACTCTGAACCCTGAAGCAGGTTTGAACATGCATGTACCTGTCGCTCTCTGTCTAGACAGCACAGAGGTTACGGATGACAAGACACATGAGCTCCTTTAGTACAAGATGTACATATGAATACTAGCACTTTCAAGACACTGACTCATTCAGTGATGTATTCAATGTCAAGCCATTTACGTGACTTCAGTATTGAAATGGTTCCTGTTCCACAATGTCTCCCCTTACCAGGCTCCCTCATTCCAAACAGTTCCCCAATTACAGATGGTTCCACCCCACATGGCTACCCTATTACAATGTTCCCGCCACGTACATACAATGGCTACAATGACAATGGTTCCTTTCTTACTCCCAGGTGTATGGACTTGTCCTCAGCTGTATGCATGTACAGAGCTGCACACTACCGTGCTGCCATGGAACCATGAGCTCTCTTTTGTCTTGCCTCTTCTCCAGCTCTTCCCGCTGGCTGATGACGCTTCAACCTTCCCATGCACTGGCCTCGAGTTCGGATGATCCTCATGAGCGGAGAGGTGGGAGGGGACGGACAGGATAGCAGACAAGAAAAACAAGACTCCAGTTCTGAGGAGTAAAATGCGTTCTAGTCTCTTGGAATACACTAAAAATGCTCATCCACCACTCACACACTATCACCCCGATAAAACCAGTCACACAACTCCGATGCACCACCGTTCCCAACTCTCCACCCACTATTGACGAGAAAAAATATTAAAAACATAAATGCGCCACGACACGATAAAGATAAAAACCAATACCTCCCCTTGCGATCGGATAAAACCACAGCCTCAGAGAGGCTATTGTCGGATTTTTGTACTCGTAAACCAGTTAGGCGCATCTATACGACACATTGGTGACATTTATTTGTACCTTGAGCCCCACCGGAGACGCAATGAATAATTATGGAGTTTGTATCCTGGTCGGTAGTCCCCACATGGCGTATTTCCTGCGTGCAGCTCAGAATAGTCCACATCCTGTCGTACGGCGACTTTAGGGCTGACCACAGAAGTGTCGCAATGCGACATCTCTGCATTCTGCCCTCCTTTAGCACCCCGCTTGCCCTCGATTGTCTCTTCAGGACTACATGAGGCCTCGCTTTGGCTCTGACCAGGAACCGTCTCAGGGCAGCGCGGAGTCGTCCCCAGGACATCTGATGCAGGGTCGGCAGTGGTGCAGATGGTTACTTTGCTGTCGAGAAGGCCCACCACTCAGCCCTGTCAAGCCTAGTTCTGGTAGGTCCTCATGGTTTATGTATGTGTCGAAAAGCCCAAAGGGATATATAGCGTGTTTCAACAAGTTACACTATTGTATCGACGGTCAATACATGATGTAACTTTACTATATATATTCCTTGCCTCAATGTGTTGGTCACGTTTGTATATGAAATAAGTACACTCCAGTTCGGTTCAGCCATGTGCTCAGCCATGTGCTCTTGGAGCGCGCTCACCTCCTCAGTGCATACTAACTTTTCCGTGGATCCCCACCACCATCTCCGTGTGGGACGTGACTTTCGTGGTGTGCACTGACTTTTCAGTGCACGCTCACTTTCTCAGTATGTGCTCACCTCCTTGGTTCTATGACAACTATTCCACATGTCTTCAGTACCTGACAGAGAGTGTGCTGGTGGGGAAGAGAGTTAGCGCCTTGTCTGTTGGTCTAGCCTGTCTCACCTCCTGTGCCGATCTCGCTCCCTCCCTTCTGCCTTCTCTCTCCCCCTACCTTCCCTTCACTGTCCACCCAGACCCCAAGCTCAAGAGTCGGTCTGCTAAGGTATATATACATAGGAGGGGGCAGTGGGCAGTAGTGTATATTATTGATCTCTTTCTCCTTGGAATGTAGCTGCTGGCTGTGCTGCTGAGAGCACTTCTTAGGGAGAGTCGCGGGGAGGCATCTTCACCGCTGGTATCCGAGGCTGCCGCAGCACTGCACAGTGTCCTAACTGACAGTTCTCCAGTCGTACTAAAGGCCGTTTGCGAGAGTCTGCGTATATGTCTCCCTTCTCTGGCTGCTTCCTCCCAACCCAAGCTTGGTGAGTTTGCAACCACAGATGTACTGTGTGTCAACCTACACCTTCCCTCAGCTGTGGAGTTGGTGGAGCCTCTGTTAGCTGCTGCTTCTTCCTCGTCCTACTGGCTTGCCAAAGTGGAGCTGCTCCGCACGCTGGCCTGTCTTCCTCTCACAGCTCTGGCACTCTCCCTCCCCTCTCTCCCACACTCCCTCCTCTCCCTCTGTGTGTTTCCACTCCTGGGAGACACAGATCACAGGTTGGCCCTATGTCTCTCTCTCCCCTCTGACCCTGAGACTTGTCTTCTCTCTCAGAGTCAGAACTGCAGCTGCTGAGGCTGTTTCTCTCTTAGTTCCCAGCTTGCAGCTGACCTCTGACCAAGTCCTTGCCCACGCTCATTGGGAGGTGTCCCGCGAGTTCCCTCCGCTACACAGCTCCACACCACAGCTGTCCCTTGCCTCTGTTGGCATGCACAGCTGCAAGATCACTCCACCCAACCCCTCTGGGTTTGCAGCACTTCCTCTTGGTTCTTGGTCTGTAACATCAGGTGTTTCCCTTGTAGCACACTCCCACTTGCTTCGTGGAGCCATTTGACATGTTCTTCTCTGCAGTTCTTCAGAGAACCATTCCTGCAGCGAGGCTGTCTGGAGGCTCTGCACATGTTGTGTTCCGTCTTTCCTCCTGCCAGCATGCCTCAGGCCTGGGGCTGTGACTGCCACATTCCCTCTCTCCTACCCACGACTCTTTCTCTGCTTACAGCATCCCAGCTGGCCTGGACTGTCCAGGGTATGCTTGGCCCTCTCCTCCTCACTCATTATTCTTCCTCAACAGGGCAGCAGCAACTGCTTGATGTTAGCTCCTCTCTCTTCCTCTCCTGCTCGCTGTCAGCTATGGATCGACTGGTTCAGAGTGGCCAGCCCCCGTCCTCCTCTCTCCTGGGCAGCATTAGGTGACTCTGAGCTTTCAGCTCATGCGGCAGTTCTTCTCCGACATGTGGGGAGGCTGTTGGCTGTGTTTGTCCATGTGCTAGAGGGCAGGGAGCCGGAGACAAGAGAAACAAAGGTGACAACATACTCTCCCTTTTGACAGCATATACCAATATTACCTAGCATGATACCTAGTATTATACTGGGCTATGATGTCAGTTTCTGCATGTCCTCTCTACAGAGGATGGCAGCTGTGTCTCCCAAGAAGGCTGCGATGAGAGATTCATCTCCATTCGCAGCAGTCCTGCTAAGCCAAGGTCATCATTGAGAATCTTCAGAGGGCACCTCTCATACCTCGCGACGGGCTGGGTCAGTTTTCCTCCTCACAGCCTCACCTCAAGATTCTCGACACCTGCAGATCTGCGTACACCAATTATCAGGTCGGTACTCACATGCTTATTTGGTGGCAAAGTGTAAATGCATTTATGTAAGAATGAAAAGCACTAAAGTGCAAACCCTCGGCGCTAAACGCGCGAGTTGTAGTATCGCTGTATGCTGGTGGACGACGGAGCCAGTAACACGAGTCTCCCCGTAACACAGGGTAGTTGGTTAGAGCAATTGCTCAGGTGTTTCAGAGGCTCTCATATTTGCTTTATTCAATCTATCCGCTCTTCTGTGCTCCAATGCTCTCGCCAGATGTTTTATAGATGGGAAGGCATGGCTGCATCCACAAACTGCTCGCCACCTGAACTATTGCGAATATACCTTGCTCAGCATGTTTATCCAAAGAGAAGCCTGTGGATCATACAACCAATGTGGCGTAGCGCATGCCCCGGCGGAAAATTTACATGACGCGTGCGCATGTCGGAGAGGGCGCGTGCGCGATCGACCGCACGTTGGCTTTTTCGCTTGTTTTCACGCCATATCTCTGGAACGCAGTCGTTTCAGGAAAATCGCCACATTATATCCATCTTCCTCGTTGTTCACAACCCGTTGGTGCCACTCATTGGCCGCCTTGTAGCCTGTAGTGCGAGAACTCGCGCGGACAGACAGACAGACAGACAGAATGACAGAACGACTACCGTAACCCTCGCTGCGCATGCGCGCCGAGGGTTAAAAATAACCAATAGCGTTCACTGTGAATAGTTAGCAGTGAAGGTGGTGTGTGTGTGCAGGTGTCTCTAGCAAGAGTTGGAGAAGATAAGTTCTCTCGCCTTCTCCAGTCCACACACAACCTGACCACCATCCTCATGGAGGTCAGAACTTCCTTCCCTTCCTCTCTCTAGTCATTTCTGGGCTGCAGGTAGCTCTGGCTGCTGATGTCAGCAAACATGTGGAAGAGCTGATGAGCTATTTCACCATCACCTTCACAGTGGATCCGTCTGGGGCTCTGCTCTGTGTGCAGCAAGTAACACCTCAACTTGTGCTGTCTGTTCCCCAAACCAGTCCCTCTTATCTCTCTGCAGCTGCTGAATGCCTTGTTTGGGATGAATGCAGCAGCCCAGCACACCCCCATACACTCCCCTTACCTCTCCTCTCTCCCTTTTGAGCTTCACTCGCTGCAGAGGTGAGCTCACATGCTGAAGGACTAAGGCCTTCTCAGTATTGGTATATAATACCAGCATATATTGGACGGAACAGTATCTTACTCACGAATGTTACTCCTGGCAGAGCCTCGCCACTCTCTCCTTCCCCCCACCCCCTTGTCGATGCCACGTTGTCACAGCCTTTGGCTGTCATGGAGCATTGGTTGGATGGCCCTCCCCCACACCCTCACCACTCACCGTCCTCCCACAAGTCTCCCTCTCTCCCTAGGAAGTGAGTCTCATACTCTGCTTCTCTTCACTCACATAATAATATTTTCTCTCAGGCAGCCCATGTTGTCGGGTCGAAGAGCTCTGGTTGTGAAGCCAGTCAATCCAGTCGTGAGCTGCTCCGACACTGGCCAAACTTGTGTAATCTTTTTTCTCTGCAGTCTTCAGTGAAGGACTACATAGCACACTTTGAGCCTCTGGTTGTAAGTGTCGTGAAGAGGTTTCCCCACACATCGTCTCTCCTCTTGCAACAGCGAACTCTCTTCCTCCTTGTTCAGCTGCTCCAGCTCAAGGTCTCTCTCTCCATCCTCTAACCCACCTTCCTCTTCCCTCAACTCTCTGTGTATGTGCAGGTTCGGTATGAGCTGCTGGACTGCAACCACACATTTCTGGACTCAGTTTTAAAGTTGGTGGGACTGATGGAGTCTGGTGTAGTGAGGGATGGAGAAGATCTGGTCCCATTCCTGTTCCAATTCCTGGTCCTCCTTGCATATGACAACTCCCAGCTGGTCTCTATTCCAGAGGTTTACTCTTTCTTCACTCTTCTCCCAGTCTACATACTGCTGTCTCCTCAGGTGATGCAGAGGTGTGATGGTGTCATGGCCTCTGGACACTCAGTCGACACATTTGCTATTCCAGCCCTCCAGCCACTGGTTTTAAACCTGTTTGTCCGGCCTGGAAAGGAAGGTTCTGAGCTGGAGACTCAGAGAGAAGTGGTCCTGAGCATGCTGCTGCGGGTCATTGACCACTCGCGAGTGATGTCCCTCCTGACACATGTTTTGGACTGCTTCAGTCGCTCTTCCCAGCATTGGCACAGAGTGAGTCTCTCCTCTTCCTCCCTCCAGTCCCGTCAGGTTCTTCATGTCTCCAGGTCTCAGGCCAGATCCTTGCCTCTCTCCTCAATGCTGTTGCTAGACTCTCTCTCGTTCTGGACTCTGCTGAGTCCATGGCAACTCTCTACCACCTGTTTTCTGCCATGGATCCTTCAGCTCTCTCTGTGAAGGTAGGAATTCCATACTCTCAGTACCATGCCTTGTGTGGTGTACATAGCGTTTCTATTCCTATTCCACTCTCCAATTATAGCCGAAGTATTAGGGATGGTTGGTCCCCCAGGATACATGTGTACCGAGAATTCCAGTACTTAGTGTGTGTGTTCTGCAGGCTTTGTTTGTGTCAATGCTAAAGCAGCCAGTGCTGGAAGGACCACGGCAGCTGTGTCGCTGGCTGGCTGTCCTCAACACAGCTCTCACTCTCATGAGAAGCCTCTTCCCAGAGTCAACTCTGTACTCTGAACTGAGGTGAGCCGCCTCCTGAATCCTAGCCAAACGTGACCCCCTGCCCCTAGTTCTATTACACTGACGGTGCCTGCCGTGAAGAGTGAGGAAGTTGACGTCCATGGAGACACTCCACATCTCCATGACGATGAGGCTCCATCCACCAGACTGGCGTGGTTCCTGCTCAGTGTCATGAGAGTGACAGTTGAGACTCAGTTGCAGCTAAAGTGTCTGTCTGGCCCTCATCCCCAGCCTTTACTGCCGCATCTGCTTGGTCGCTATCTCCTCCTTCTCTCCTCTCTCCTGTCTGGTCTGTCACATTGAATATTTCTCTGTACAGGGAAGATTAGTCCATCTGTGAAAGTTGTTACATACCATTTGTACAGTGAGACACGTGAGAGTTGGATTTATTCTCGCAAGTGTTACACCTGATGATTATTTATCTCTTCAGGGGAATATGAAAACCTGAGAATGGCCCTGACGTCTGTGTCTTTCCCACTCTCCCTAACTTCAGCCTTCCTCTCCCTCACCCCTTCCTACCCTCTCCTCACCCTCCATTACTACCATCTTTCCCTCCTCACTGGAGGACGCAGTTTGGTTGGTTTACCCTTTTCCTCCCCTCCATCTTCCCCTCCACCTCATCCTTCTCGTCCTCAGGTCTTCTCAGCTCTCCAGGTGTGCAGTGCGTCTCAGGCTCCCAGCCATCGTCTTCTCTACCACTGTCTCCTGCCACTGCTGTCTTGCTCTGGCACCTCTCTCATGGACACTGTTCCAACCACACTCATCGACAGGTACAGTGTTGTTCAGTCCCTCATTTTGTGGCTCACACATCCATCTCTCTGAAGAGACAGGACCACTGAAAAGGATACACTAATAGAGCAGCTGATGAACTCTGACTTCTCCAACCCTGTTGCCTGTATGCATGCGCTGCAGTTGGCGAGGGACGAAGGCTCAGTGCGGGTCCTCCCGTTGCTTTGTCGTCGCCTCGTCACTCATCCCTTCTCTTCCATCAGCTCACCAGCAGCCTCTCTGGCTGGTAGGATCATGGCCGGTCTGATACTGCTTCCTCGTGTTATGTGACTGTTTCAGTTGTTGTATTTACCAGATAAGAAGGTCAGCAGTGACTTAGCTCGAGAGTTGCTGCCATTTCTGAGTGGTGCTGGCAACAGGTTAACACACTGTTTTTTGTGGTGTATGTACGTGTAGTAAAATTCTTGTTTCAGTCAATTATTTTTCTTTTTGTTAGCGTGCATATTGCATTTTGTACACTCATGTTTTACTGAGTGATTTCTACGGTACTACAGGTATCCAGAGTTGCTGAGTACAACACAGAGGTTGGCAGATGTTCCTTCACCGGCTCCTCCCCAAAGCAGTTCCTCTCACCCTCTCCAGTTCACCTCGCAAGTGCAGGCCGTAACCAGAGTACGTACAATGTACCTCATGCTGACAAAGCTCTGCCACAGCACCTCCTCTCCCCAGCTGTGGTTCCTGGCTGAGGTGCATGATCTCTGTCGTAACAGCTGCTCCGACTGGCTGTGTGGCAGGGTTCTCGCCAGACTCTCGCTCTCTGAGCTCTCTGATCTCCTCCAAAATCCTGATATCCCAAAGGTTGGTCTTCAGGTTTCTACAGCCAGAGACACTGTTTCTGTTCAGGGATTACTGGAGGCTTGTGTGTCCCATGGACTGGAAGTCTCCCTCTCTTCTTCCTCCCAAACTCCTCACCCTCTGCTACAGGTGTCATCCCGCTAACCTTCCACTCTCTCCTCTAGCTCTAGTCATTATTGCAGGCCTCCTCTGCCAGACTTCTGGACCAGTTGGTTCAAAGTCAAGGTCCAGGTGATCCCAGTCTCCTCCCTCCTCTTCTCTGGCTTCTGCTGGCACAGGAAGTACTGTCATTACCTCCTCTGAACGAAGCAGCCGTCAGCTCCGTGCTGGCTGCCATTACTGGAGGCTTGCAGCAGAGAGACTCCACACTGTTGCTGCAGACATCAATGGACTGTTTATCTCTGGCCCTCTCTCTCCGAGAAATTCAGAGTGGTATTGATGATGCTTGGCTAGCAACAACTGTGCCTCTTGTGGTTGCTCTTGCAAAAGGTGGTCACAGTGTACATCTGAATGTGTATGCACTGTGTGCATGGTGTTGTTCAGGCTCTACTGCGGAGGCCGGCAAGGCTGATGGGTCCTCCTCACAGCAGCTCCACTCTGCACTGACCCACAGTCCTACCCACAGTCTGAGTCCTTCCCTGAGGCTGCACACTGGCACAGCTCTTCTCTCCCTTGCCCGCCTCCCGTCCCTGCACGCCACCTGCCTCATCCCTCCTCTCCTCCTTTCTCCAGGCAGCCAGTCACCTTCGGAGCAAGTCTTGGACCAGGCTCTTCTGGAGGGAGAGGTGAGCTGGTCTCCTTTCTCCTGTTCACCTCTCGTCTGCTGTTGAGTACAGGTCCTGCAGCAGTATATGGCCCGTAGCAACACTGTTGGTTGGCTGGATCGGGCCCAGTTTGAAGAGAGATGGATGCAGCTGCTTGGAGTTGTCAACCAGCCTCCCCCTGCAGAGGTACTTTGTAGGTATCTTGGACAGTGAATATCCACTGACGTCAGTTTCTTGTATAATGCGTGAGCTAATTCATGATGGTAATAGGGAATGCCAGTGGAGGAGATGTATGCGCACACACTCAACATGTGTATTGGTCTGGTGGGTGTGGTCTCCCTCCTGCTGGCCACCAGTCTCTGCCCACAGCCTGGCAATCCTGTGTTTGGTGTTCCTCTGCACACTCACCGCAACAGAGACATTCTGTTTCTCGGAACAAAGTTAGTCGTCAGTTCTTCTGTGTTATAGTGATAGTAACTGTTCCACAGGCCGGGAAGGCGTTTGAGGAAAGTGCGCTCAGTGGTTGAAACCCAGCTCCTCTTGCAATGTGGGGCTAGACCAGACATCTACAGCCACTACCAGTGCCCCCTCCTCTCCCACCTCTCCCTCCCTCTCTTCACCCGCAATGTTGAGCGTGGACCTGGGGGAACTGAGCTGGGACCTGCACAGCTGTCTCTCAAGAGCCTGTGGCCAGTCACTTTGGCCAACCCCACCAGTCCAGGTTGTGGCACATTTCTTAATGCTATTCTCTGGACATTATCCTTGTTGTGTAGCCCGTCACTCACCAGATGGGGTGGATGTGAGGTCGTGTGTGCTGTCTCTGGTGGACCTGTTTTCCCACTGGCTGGGCCAGCCCCTCCACCCTCTCCTCCTCCTCCACACACTCAGAGCCATACTTATGCTCTCTGATCTCTTCTCCCTGGTATGTACCTGTGGTAGTACTATGGTGGCATTGTTCACTTCCTCTGTAGCCTTCCCAGTTTCAGTGGATGCTGGAATTGGCGTGTGACTTGAGTGACAAGCAACCACCAGAGGATGTGGCTTTGCACGCAATACTCATGCAATGTATACTGAAGGCAGGGGCTGTTTTGAAAGTGGTGAGATTGCCTGCAAGTACTGCTGCTATTTTGTCAGTCGTGTAGGATGCTGTTCAGTTGGAGAGAATAGTGAGGAGTACTGAAAGAGCTCTGTCATCAGACTCTCTGGAAGTCCAGGTGAGTCTCTTTTGTTGGAACTGCAGTGCACTGCCCCTCCCTTCACTGTTCAGGATGGGTGTCTTTGTGGACTGCTGTATGTTGTGGAGGATCCTGGCAGCCAGCTTGCTGCTCACCTTGCCGCTCCACTGGCCAAGTACCTGCCTCCCCAGCTGGAGTCATTTCACAGGTGAGGTCATCTAACTGCTGAGTGTGGATTGGAGAGAGCAGCTCCCAACCCTCCAGGCTATCTGAGCAACACTGCACTTTGTGCTGGAGTCTGGCTGTGTCTTTGGCTCTGCACCACTCACACCTCCTTAAGTCAGTTATTCCTCCTCCTGAAAAGTCAGTTTCTGCATTTTTGCCTGCCTGTGCGTGGTGTAGGGATGCAGAATTTCCCGGGCAACTGCTGGAGAAGGCAATTCCTCTTTTTTTGCACCCACACACATCACCACTTCTCTTCCACTCACTGTGCTTTGGGCTGGAGCTCCTGGTTCTCAACTTCACTCTTTCTAATGAGCAGAGGTCAAAAGTCACTAATGTCACTGCTGGCAGGTCTGACGTGCTATCAATATTTTTCCAAGTTTAAGAAGTAATCTTCTTCAAGGTGTGCAAAGTGTGAATTGGACAAAGTTTTGCCAGCACTTGGTTTGTTGCTGTCATGCATGTATTCAGGTATGTTTTATATACTTATTATAATGATTGCTTTAGCACCAGTGTATTTGTTGTGTAGGAGAGCAGGGGAACTATGTCAATGAAGATGAGGAGACTGAAGCTGCAGTTGAGATGTCAGTTCTAACGAGAGAGTATGTGGGGATACTGGTGGAGCAGTGAGTTTCATTGCCTCATAATTCCACACTCATCTCTGCCTTTCCTATACACACCAGTCTGCGACATAGTCCATTGGAAGGAGTCAGATTCCTGGTGGGTGTAGTTCCAGTTGTGATGGTGGACTTCTTGCCGCCAGTCCAGGTCCTTCAGATGGTAGTCACTGAGTTTGTGAGTCCCCACCAGCCACGACCTTCACTGGCCGCCATCGTCATGGGAGAGGTAAGCTCCAGGTCATAGTATTATGCAGGTGTTACATTTTGTTCTGCAAAGACCTTCTCTTTGGTGTTGGGGAAGAACATGGGAGACACACTGACTGATTGTGGTCCTACTGTCTCTGGACAGTTTCGTTCAACAGTAGGTGCTCAAGTGAAGTATTATGTTGTGACAGTGTCAAGATTACACAGGGAGCCAGAGAAAAAGGCAGTTTGGTGTTTAGTGTGTTGTTAGCTGCAGCCTCTTCATCCTCCATCCTTCGAGCTATGTATGTGCATAATTTTCTTTCAGAAGTAGAGTTGTATGCTGCGTTTACCAGCTTGAAGTTGTTGCTGATCAACCAAACATGTGTCTTCACATATGCAAATTCTCCTTGGCAACAACATCATTCTATTTCTGCTCAAACCCAAGCAAGTTGCCTCTCCTCTGCCTTATTATTATTTTCCAATCTATTAGGTGTCAAACCCAGCAGCAAAAGGTGTTTATAGACAAGTTTTTGTCGTCCAATTATCCGACACTCAATGCGTAGTAGCGCATGCTTGCCTTCATTCCATATAGCAAATAGCTTAACTTGTACGTCGTAATAATGTGTAATTTGTACCAAAGACATTGACTATTTGTTCGAGATTGGAATAGCAAAACTCTCTAAACACTATTTTTGCAATTTCCTTTTTTACCAACAAGGGTTTGAACAGTTTTGCATTTGTTGTACGCACATGAGTAAACGAAACGACAAACCAACAATGCCTAACACTTCGACTATAATTGGAGGGTGGAATAGCAAAACTATCTAGCTGTACCCAAACACTCATTTTTCTAGCAATTTCCTTCTTTACCACCCTTTCCAACAAGGTTTTGAACAGTTTTGCATTTGTTGTACGCACATGAGTAAACGAAACGACAAACCAACAATGCCTAACAGTTTGACTATAGTTGGAGGTTGGAATAGCGATACTATCTAGCTGTACCTAAACACTTATTTTTCTTGCAATTTCCTTCTTTACCACCCTTTACAACAAGGGTTTGAACAGTTTTGCATTTGTTGTACGCACATGAGTAAACGAAACGACAAACCAACAATGCCTAACACTTTGACTATAGTGGAGGGTGGAATAGCGAAACTATCTCGCTGTACTAAACACTTATTTATTTTGCCTTTTCCTGTCATACCACCACTGCCTGTACACAAGTAACTATAGCACAAAGAAGAGAATGTGCTGTATACCTGCAAAGTAAGAAAAAGCCAGAAACAATCTCCAGGGGTTATCCCCCAGAGATGGTTTTCGTCCCTTATGTTTATAGTGGGAGGACTCATCAGCTGGCCCCACTCTATTATTACTGGACACACAAAACTGGTATGGTTTGTGTCTGGCTCTTCCTATTACCATTTTGTGTGTGTAAACAG